ACACCTGAGAGACACAGTAGCAATGCCTTTGCGTTTGGAAGCGGGGGGTGGGGGTAGGGGGAGAACCAGGGAGGATGATTCAACCACTCAACCACTAGATGTCGCTGAAAACAACAAATCCTACACACTGTGCCTTTAAAATAGCAATTGAACTCAACTACCCAGGGGGCCACAGTTACAGTCAACAGCTCTGGGGCCGGAAACCTGCAGTGGGGAAACACTTCATTATATCAAAGAAAAAGTATCATCGTTTGCCTTTTTAATTATTTTTTGTTGCATTGAGTCATAAATTTAACATTAACTTAAAATCTATTTTTAGATTAAATTCAGTAAAAAATAATAATTAATTGTAAAAACTGAGGGACCTTGTTGACGGGCCAGATGGAAGCCACCGGCCCACGGGTCGCTAGTTGAATAGCCCTGCCTTAAAAAGAATGTTCAGTGTTTTCTGAAATAAAGGTTAAACAATGTCTTGTTGTTGATAGCTCCTCGACTAACCTCAGTTTGAAGAAAGAGTTTTGTTTCAAACCTCCACACTGATCAACTTTGCTCTACTTGTGTATTTACAAAGAGTTAGTGGGCTGTTTGAAAGCACAAATCGCAGTAACGACAGAAATAATGAAGGCAAATATATGCAACGTGTTTTTTATGACGAAAAATAAAACGACTTTAAAAATAGAACAATCTGTTTTTCGTTTTCTTTTATCTGTTTTTAAAACAAAAGGCTAATGACCACAAAAAGTACACGTGAGACAAAATAAAGCTCTATCTGCAGCAGGTAAGATATTCACTGTTAATCAGTATTTCAGAAAACACCACTACTCCTTTTACCTCTTYGCTCGTCTTTCTATAAACGAGTGAAATTTCTGCACATTAAAGATTATTTTAAATCTTTTCGCAGTTACGACTTCACTCCTCTGGACTCATCTGCCGTTTACGTGCTGAGCAGTATGGCGAGACGCCGGCGCGCCTCACAGTCCAGCGGGGGAGCTGTTTCTCCTCACAGAGACACTTTCCCAGGTTTGGTTCTTCAAAGTGTCTCTTAAATCACGTTTCCTTATTCAGAGAGCAGCGAGGTTAAGAGTTCCATTCAGCCTGAAGAAACAACCTGGTTCCATCTCGCTGCAGAAAGCAACAGTCCCAGCCATTCTCAGACCCGACACCACAAGCCAGCGAAGACCCAGTCGGTCAGAGCGCAGGGAGGCGGAGTTGCCCCGCCCAGTAAGTGCAAGCGGCCAATGAACGCCTTCATGCTGTTCGCCAAGAAGTTCAGAGTGGAGTACACACAGATGTATCCTGGCAAAGACAATAGGTGGGTGGAGCCTAAGCAAGGCTGGATACTGTGTGAACGTGTTTGCTAGCGTGCGTGTGTGTGTGTGTGTGTGTGTGTTTGTCCTTGTTTTTCCTACATCGTGGAGCCCAGTTTTAAAGAAAACACAGCCTCGTGGGGTCCGGGTGCTCCTTGTGGGGCCCAAAGCCTGGGCCCCACAACTTCAGAGGCTGACTTTGGGTGTGAGGGTTGGGTTTAGGACCAAGATGTGAACAGAGTTTTGGTTAGTTTTAGAGTCAGGTAGGTACTTGTGAGGTTAACTTTAGGGTTGGTGGTCAGGGTTAGGACATAAAATTGCCAAAAAATGAATGGAAGTCAATGGACGGGCCCCACAAGCATGTGAAAACAAGTGTGTGTGTGTGTGTGTGTGTGTGTGTGTGT